GCAGGGGAAGGCGATGGGGAATGCGTTTTGCGCCCGCCCCTTTTTCTGCACTGCAGTTTGGATCACGGCAAAAGGGAGCCCGGTTCCTGCGGCGGGATTTGGGCGCGCGTTGTGCAGTGAGACAGCTGAAGCTGCGAGCAAGAAGCACGCATAAATACAGGCTTCCTCCCCGTGCTTTATGTAACCAGAGCGGGTGATGTCACTGGGAGCCGGAGAGGAGAGCGGGCTGTGGAATGGCAGCCCTCTGCAGCCATTCAGCAAAGTCTGAAGGGGGGCTGCAGGGAGAAGGGCCCAGGCTCCTCTCTGACAGGGGCTCGGGGCAGAGGGGCCAGGGGCTCAGGCTCGGAGGGGCCCTGCAGGGTAGGAGTGGATCAGCCAGATACAGTCAGAAGCTCTCACACGGGCGCAGAATGGAAGGGGGGGAACAGCACGTGCCCGGTGGGCAGCAGTGGGGCAGCCGTTCCCGGGGCCAGCACCCCCTTCTTCCACATGCGGCCACCTATAGCTCGTTGTGGATCAGCTGGCAGGGCTATGGGGCTGCTGAGCTTGCTCATCGCTCTTCTGCCTCAGTCTCCTGGCCCATCTGTTTCGGGGCTGGTGTACCTTTTCCCACAGCAGCTCTGGGCGGAGAAGAGAGGGCATCCTCGCTCTGCTTGCCCTCCACATCCCAGAGGAGCTTACTTCTAGGCTTCTCCTGGCACCACACAGGGGAGGTGGCAGAGGGGCTCTGTCCTAGCCAGAGTTGCCAGGTGGAACAGAACAGAAGATTGTCCTCAGCTCTTTGGGAGAGCACTGCGTTGTAGGCTCTGGTTTTCTGAAGGCTCTGGGGTGCTTTGCTCCTTTTCTGGCCGCCCTGATGCCCCACATGGCATCGTATGAGGAGTCTTCCCCTTAACAGGCTGAGCCCGAGGGGGGCACCAGGCTGTTTTCTTGGAAAAGAGAGCCTCCTCCTTTCAAATCCCCCGTGGATTCCTTCTTCAGCACATACAGCACATACCGTTTGCTCAGGATGCTGCTGTGAGAGCCTGAATTTTTTCCAAAGCCACTGAGGCAGGAGAGAGGGCTCCTGCTTCTCCCGTCTCCCCCACAGCTAGCGTGCAAAGGCTTCGGCCTTGGCTGAAACTGGAATTCTCCTTCTGTCATCCTCTGTCTTCCCCGGGATCAAGGCAGAGAGAGGCAGCAGCCCTTTGCGCCGAGTCCCAGTAGTTTCTCTGTTATATAACAGCATGAGCATTTAGACTTGTTTTTCCAGATATTGGCAGATGCATCAAATATTGGCATAATCCAGCGGTTTACATGGAAAGCCGTCTGGCTCTGCCTGGAGCCTGCACAGTGCTGGCATTTTCATTGAATACAAGAGCCTGCAGCGTTGTCAAAGCCACGTTGCAACAGAGTCCAGGTAAACAAGGGGAAAAGACATTTGTATCGTGGCCTGACCTGTGGGATTACAGCAGTCCAGCTCCAGGAGTAGATAAGAAAGATTAATAGATTTATGATTGCTTGTTCTATGAAATGATCTTTTAGCTAAGTTTGCTGTGATGCTTTTGAGCTCTGGAGTTTTATTTCTGGGTTTTACTGAAGCCACCCACCAGTGTGTCAGACCTGCCTGTGCACTCCAAGGTTTAAGCACCCAACATGGTCCGTTTGGTCTGTTGGAAGCTGCGAGAGGTCAGGGACCGTGACCAGGTCAGAACTGAAAAATAGAAAAGCAAGGTGCTGAACGCTGGGGAAGCTGTTTGATTTGGTCTGTCTGAAGGAAAGCAACGCTCTCGCGTGCCAGGATGGTTTGTGGGCTTGGTAGCTCTGCCAGCGTTGTCCCCAGCAGTGGGAGGTGGGGCTGGGGGACATGGCTGTCCCTGTGCTGCGCCTGCCTGCGTGCCCAGGCTGGCCCGCTGCTCTGTGCTGGTTGAAGCCCTCTGCATTTCCCTTGGTTAGGCTGGGGCTGGAGACAGAAGTGCGCTTACGTTTGCCGTGGCGTCAGAACTCCGCGTGGCTCAGCTCTGAGTGCAAAACAAGGGGGAAATCCACCAGCAGCACAGAAGTGATTACTTGGGTCAAACTTATTCCAGACCTGCTCGGCTCAGCCAGCAGCACCTGCCCCAGCATTGCCTGAGCCGTGCTGTGTGCTGCTGAGAGCTTATCAGCTCGCACTCATGCTCGGTTGCCGGCTGCTGTCCCCTGATGTCTGGTGAGCCAGCAGAGGCCACCACCCCAGCTGCCACCACGGCCCTTGGTGACTGGACGGCAGAGCCTCAGGCAGGAGTGGCTGCTCTAGAAACCATCTGGGTGAGCCTGGGGCAGTCCTTCGGGCTTTGAGAGCCAGAGTGGGGATCCAGAACCAGTCGCTGTCTGCCAGCTTTTCCAGTGTCCTCGTGAGGATGGACCCTCTGACTGCTTTGTCTTCTCCCTGCCCGTGTCAGGGCCTGCAGAGCACAACAACCATCTTCGATGTGCTGTGGTCCTGGGACACGATGGGGAGTGTTTGAGTGTCCGGGGGTTTATTACTTGGCTGGATTTTTCATATAGCTTTCAGATGCTTAACTCGGTTGATCTCATCAAGTCTGCAAATAACCTAGCTTCTGACGTGGCAGGTCAGCGCCATCCTCCCTCTAACCGCCGTCTTGGCAGTGCAGCCAGGGCTCGCTGCTGCCCGGAGCTGATGGTTCATTCCAGGAATCGCAGCTCCCGGTGCGGGGCCTTCCCCGGTTCCTGGTAAAACCTTCAGCACTGAGACTCAGCCCAGAGCCCAGGCTATAGACACGTTGTCCATTTCTCTGTGTTCACGAGTGGACTCTGATACATTTGATGCTGGTTAGATGTTGATTCCCCAAACTTTCTGGGTTTTGTTGCAGAAATAATTCAGTTTTCACCATGGGCTGGGAGCAGCCCTTGCCCAGCAGGGCGGGGGGGACTCTGGGGTCACTCCCCATAGCAGGTGCTCTGTAGCAAGTCCCCTGTTCGGTGGAACCAGCTCTGCTCCTCGGCCCCCAGATCTGTGCACCCATCTCTAGCTCTGCTCAGGCTGCGTTTTTAACTTGGGCTGGTCCCGTACATGAAGTCTATGGCTGGTGCTCGTACTCGTGCCGTGAAGAGACACGTGCCGCTCTGCGCTGCAGCTTGGCGGCTGTGCTCTGGCAGCTCTGGCTCGGTGACCTGCCTCTGTGGCCGTTCGGGAAATCTGTCGCATAGCCAAAAATGGGTTCAAAACCCAGCACGTCTTTAACCGCAAGACCTTTCTTCTCGTCCGTTCTCTAGTTGCAAGAAGTCGGTGTCCAGTCTCCCATGGGATGACATGAACTGTAGTGCCAGTGTGAACCAGTAATGCTTTCTCATTGCTGGCCCTGCGGGTCATCATGAGACATGGGGCAAACACCTGCAGTGGGTGCACGCAGCTCCTGTTGGTCAAGCTCTGTACTGAAAATGGGCTTCCAAGTAGAAAAAATCCCCCCGTGTCAGTCATACAGGGCTTAATGTCAGTGGGGTTTGCCCTAGAGCAAGCTGAGAAGTAAAAGAGAAGATTGATGTGATAACTATTTTTTCAGTTGGATTTTTGGATTGTGGTTTCCCTTTCCCCACCCCTCTGGTTGTTAGTATTTAGTGGAAAGCACGTGTTCTTCCAGGCCCTTTCTGGTCATAGGCAGCCGTGTGGCTGTTCCTGAGACAGAATGATGGACCCTTTGTAAAGAGATTTATAATAGAAACAGTGAGGAGCTCATAGCTATAGCACCGCTAGTGAACGCTCCCCTGTGCTGACAGTTCATCAGCAAAACCCCTGACCCTTCCACCCTTAATCATCCTTGCTTGTCACTGACATAATTGCCTGATTACAGACTCCTCTCCCCCACCCCTTTCAAACTGGTTGCAATAATGAATTTGAAAAACAAATGGAAATGAACTGTCCGTGCTCTTTTTTCTTTTTTTTTTCCTTCCCCTGCATTGAGATGGATCAGGCGAAGATTCAGTTTCTTTGTGCCCGAGCAGGGGCTGGGATAGGCTTTCAGGACGCTCTTGCACTGGAGTTTCTTGCGTGTGAATGGTGGAGCTGATGTCATTGTGTTATTGATTGGGATGACAAGTTTGGACATAAATCATTAATGAAGGAGAGGAAAAAAGGCAACCCACACTTGATAGTTTTCCATAAATCTGCTGTTCATTCCTGCATACATGATACAAAGGAGGAGATGCAGTTTTCCTGTGCAGCGCGAGGACGATGTGCTTTGCCGCTGCTGCCCAAACCATTTTCCCCAGAAGATGTTTCCATATTCTGCACAGAGTGGCTCATATCATCATCAGCACTGTCGTGCTTGAGCCTGTCTTTGCAGACCTGAGCCAAGGTCAGCAGACTGCCCAGGGGAAGGTCTTGGGCTCTCATGTTCACACAGACCTTGCACCCCCAGCAGCATTTCAGAGCTGGGCCCAGGAAGGAGTAAGAGTGCAGTGCTGGGAACCACCATCCCTCTAGCTCCTTCAGCTGCCAGCAGGGATTGTTTGGGTGCTGAGGGCTGACCTTTTCTCTCATTGTTCTTAATCTTGTGCAGAAAGACTGTGCTTAGATGGGTTCATAGCAAATGTCCCCAAGGCAGCAATGCACAGGCGTGCAGAGGGTAGCAGTCATTCAAAACAGCTTTCTCCAAAGTTCTTCTCCGCACAGCAGATAGCAAATAGCTGGGAGGGACAGAGGAAACCCACGAGGTGCTTGTACCATTTGCCTGTGTGCCTTGCCCCTGCACAAGGTTCATCCAGATGAGTCAGATTATCAGTTCAGACAGCAAGAAAATAAACAGTATCTGTCAGAGGTCAGCAATAATGTGAGTATTGGTGAGAAGCTGATGTCTGCAGTGTAAATAGCTTAGTGGCAGTGTGTTCTCATACCTGTGGGGAATCTTGTGATGTATGGAAGGAGGGAGATGTGAAAACTGCCTCGTAGGAGGAAAGTAGAGAAGGAAATGACAGTCCCGTTCTGAAAGCATAGCTCTGATCCTCCTCTTCTTCCCTTGCAGCCGAGCTCACCTCCGCCTGTGTCTAGAACGCTTAAAAGTTCTGATACCGCTAGGACCAGACTGCACCAGGCACACAACGCTCGGGCTGCTCAACAAAGCCAAAGCACATATCAAGGTAAGAGCTGCTTTGCCCAGCTGCTTCCAGTCTGGGCTGTTGGGAAGTACAGTCCAGTCGCTCGCTCTTGCTGCCTGGAGGTAACTCTGATGAAGGAGACTGACATCTTTTAGGGGGGGAAAAAAAAAAGAAAGGCAAGCACGCCTTGTCCCCTTGGTTAATCATTTATCATTGCTACAAGCCACATTGTTAGAAGAGTCCATAATGAACTCTGTTAACTACAGAAATGATTGATTTGGAGAGCAGGGGTCTTGTTCTGTATTGTGATCGTTTGTTGACAGCTGCATCTATTTAAAGAAAAGCATGCCTGCTGTGGAGTGACTGCATTTTGATGGGAAACGCAGCTTTTTTTCTGATGTGCTAGTCAGTTTCCATTGGCGAAGCTTTAGCGCAAACCACAAGAGTGTGAGATGGCGTTGGCTTGCTGAGGTTTCACATGTGAACCTGCCAGCTAGCCCAGTGCTCTTCTAGATTCACTTTTGGCAAAACGAAGCAAGAAGAGAAAATGCAGCATTGTCAGTATCTGGAAGAGGCTGAAATACTTTTGTCGCAGGTCAGGACAGCGGGAGGGCGGATGGCTGGTGAAGGAGAAAAAGCACTGCCAACGGGGCAGAGTTAGCCTGAAATGACTCCTCCTTATGCAATACGCTTGTCGCAGGAAACAAAGAACAGTGCCCTGGTAGATTTCCCAGCTGTGATCAAAGAAATCTGTAGTAGGTTGCATAAATTGCTTAGTGAATAGAAAACTGTTTCTGAGAAATCCTGCTAAACCGTGCAGCAAGGAACACAGAACTCCCAGGGCACGTTTTTATGTTACAGTGGATGTTACTATCCTGATGTCACAACCCTGAGCTGGTTTGGTTAAGGGACTTGAGGCCCCTTCCTGGACAGATTTGGTAATGCAAGTGGCTGAAACGCGGGGAATGACCCAAAAACTGCTCCAATTGAAATAGTTTCCCCTGGAGAGGCTCTGTCCTCAGGGGCTTTTTATACTAATGTGTATGATTTATCAGGACTTGGGAGGTGGAAAAGATGGCGAGGAGACAGCATTGTTCTTGGAGATTGCAAGGTAGCTTGGCTCGGGGCTCTTTTGCTGCTTAAATCCTTCTAGGACCTGAGAAGGCCGAAGCAGAGCAGGTGGCTGGGCAGTAGAGGTGGGAGGGAAGGAGAAAAGGATGAAATTAATTATTGAGTCGTATTTGATCATGTCAGAAACTTGAAGAGGCTGAGAGGAGAAGCCAACACCAGCTTGAGAACCTGGAACGAGAACAAAGATTCCTAAAGAGAAGACTGGAACAACTACAGGGTCCTCAGGAGATAGAGCGAATACGAATGGACAGCATTGGATCTACCATTTCCTCGGATCGCTCGGACTCGGAGCGAGGTGGGTGTCGCTGAACTAGCACTGAGTCCCCAGGACTCTGTGAAGGGAGGGCATGAGATTCATCCATTTCTTGGCTCTCAGCTACCCCCTTCTTATGGCCTTGGGTATTTCAGCTGCTAATTTTGCTCAGACGTGCACACACACACACACAGACATACATGAAGAGTTTCATATTTTCCATGAGTTCTAATTAAGTCTGGAAGAAGTGTTGTTATTGTCACCCTGAGCTGATACATGTGGCATTTAGTGACCTGTTTCTCTGAAAAGCTCTCTAAAATGCCAGCGCTTTGGTCAGGAAAAATAACGGGATCACAAGATGGTAGCTAAATACCTGATGGTAAAGTTGGGATGTCCATTGTGGTCTTTTGTCTACTGAATCTCTTCGCAACACAAAGAGGAAAATCCAGGAAGATATTAGTGGGACTGGAACGGATGTTGCAGAGCAGCATCCAGCTTCTCATTCTGTATTTGGGCCATGGTATAACCAAGGTACCTTGGTATAACCAAGCAAACAGAACCAAGCAAATTGCCTCCTAAAATTCCCAGAGTGATTCTGTACACCCCTGCCCAAGTTTCCCACAGAGTTCATCTCTTCAGTTAGTACTTGATAGAGATGGTCTGAATGGCTAACTGAATTCAGATAACTTTCTCTTTTTTAAATGTCTCTGTTGTAGAGAGATATTTAGGTACAACAGATGGTTTGATGTTTACAGACAGACCCAAAGATGCTGTATAGTTTGGGTGTGAGTGTAGGTTAAAAAAAATAATAAAATTCCTTTTGGAAAATTCCTAAAGGGTATGGGAACCAAGATACCTGGTTAACTAGATCTCTGCTTTCTGAGTGCTTCTTAAAAAGATTTATGTTCTAAAGTCCAGTGAGCATCTCTGAGAGTAACCCAGACCCCCATGGCAATGCAGCCCTGTAGGAGTGGTCCTGGCTTTGGCAATGTAATATCAAGCAAGTAGCATGTTTTGGGGTAACTTCATGCTCCATTTTATCTGTTGCCCTCTGTTTTATGTTTCTTTTTGTTGCCAACACTGGGGTAGCAGAACTCCAAAGAAAGAGGTAGCGGAACACGTTCAGTGGGTGGGGTGGCCCACCTATGCTGGTAGTCAAACCCTTTGCCAAGTCCCTAAGAAAAACTCGGAGCTGGTATCTAGATAAATCATGTCCACAGCCCATCCCATTCCAGGGCGAACGCCGAAAGTCTTCCTGCCGGACTGCTGCTTCCTCCCTGACTGGGGGAGTCCCAGCAGCTCGCTGGCTTGAAGGGAGCTGGTGGGTCCGTGCTGCTAACCTGTGCGCATTTCTCTCATTTTCCTTTTCAGAAGAGATTGAAGTGGATGTTGAAAGCACAGAGTTCTCCCATGGAGAAGTGGACAATATCAGCACAACCAGCATCAGTGACATTGATGATCACAGCAGCTTGCAGAGTATTGGGAGTGACGAGGGTTACTCCAGCGCCAGTGTCAAGCTCTCGTTTGCTTCCTAGAACCAAGTGAGACAACAGTGCAGGGCGAACGATTTCGCTGGGGTGATCAGACTGGGTCCTAGATGCCAGTATCCTCTTTCAGAAATGACCTATTGACAGCTAGTCCTGGAGAGACTTGTATATAAAAGCTTTTGAGGTAAAGGAAGCCTCCACAGAAACCCACATGTGTTCATTTGGTCATGTTACCAATCCCTTTGAAGTCAGTGAAATCTGTTTGTTTCTGTGGGACCTGGATCTAGACCTTAGTGATGAAACACTTTGTTTTGAATTTATTTGTTTGAAAGAGGATACTAGAGATTCATCCCTCTCTTCTTGTCATGAGATTTGAGAAATGTCAGAATTTCTTATATTGCATTCAGGTTGAACAACCTAGTTTAGGCCCTTCTGAAGAGCTTTTGTGGTCCTAAAAGGACCGTGTCCTACAGTTTATCGCAATCCAGCACTGTCGTGATGTACTAGGAAATCTAAGAAGGCTTCCGTAGCCTAGGAAGAAAAATGATGATAATGATTAAGGTCTCATTCTGTGCCCAGAGAGAGAGGGGCAGCAAAGAGAGATGTTCAGGAGAGGACACCATTCAGCTCAGCTTTCTGTTGGACATCATTTAAAAAGCAAGTACCTCTGACGCGTGGCTAAAGCAAGAGGTACGCACCTGTAATCTACCAGCACGTCGTGGGCTGTGTCGTGCCTCGGGCTGTGACACCGACAGCAGATCTCCCGTAGGCGCGTGCTCACGCGCAGGCACACAACCAGCTGAGGACAGAAAGAAACCAGCACATACGAGAGGTGATATGCCAGAAAGTCATGCCCAGATACTGAGCCGCTACGACCTTTTTATTTGAAGAGATTTTTTGATAAACATTTGTAAATGTGTTGGGAGGGAAAACACCCCAAGTCTGATGCGTCTTTTTAGAGCTTGTCCATATGAAACCTTAGATGTCTTTTATATGAATTTATGCCATGAGAAGATCTCTGTTTTGATGAAGCACTTGACCCAATGAAATGTAAAGATGCTTTTTGCCATGCACACAGTGGATGAAGGCTGTGCTAACTGGAAGAGGCCAGGTTTAGTGGGGGTTTCTTTGGTTTTCTTTTTAGAATCATTCCCTTTGACTCTTGAAGTTCCAGTCCAGTAGTTAACCTAGTTAAGCTCAGCACGTCTCTCATGTTAATGTAACGTTTTGACTGCACGTCCTGCTCCCAAGGGCCTTGCCATCTTATCTGTGCAGGTGCTGTTAAGAGCTGTTGTAGCAAATGTTTTCTAATTTTCTCGGAGACGAGCATTCTAACCTGCACTTTGAGGGCTTTGCTTTTTTTTATTTTTGTCTTTTTAATGGCCAGAATTATTTTGTTTTCCAAGTTTTAAAAACCTTAATAGAATCCTCACCTATGGCATTGTTTGAAACTTTGTATATTCTTAAGTAATTTAACTTCCCCTCATTACTAAGAAAAAAAAAAGAGGAAAAAATGCTTTATAAAATTCATAACTTATTGCTGATTTGAATGGGTTGTTAATTTCAGTCCTTTAGATTTTATTTTATTGTTTTAGGTAGGGTTGGGCAAAAAAGAGGTAAAATAAAAAAAATAAAGACAACCATATTTAGCAGTGCAGTGGAATTGTGTTTAAATGTTAGCATATGGTCCCCATTAAAGTAGCACTTTAACGCCATTAAACATTTCTGTATCTGAAATGAGTCGTGTTCTTCCATCTTGGTCATTCGTGTCGCTTCAGCTGACTCTGTTCTTCTTGTGCCCTTCGATCCTGCGACGAGAAGATCCTGAGCGAGTCTGCTGTAGACGTTTGCATTATGAGAAGTTGCCTGTGTTTAAATATTCTGATGTTTCCCCCACTCTGCTCCAAAATGTGTCACCCCCCATAAGAGGCACAGCACACGTGCTTGGGTAGAAAAATATTCTTGCCATGGCTGTAATGAACGATTTCTGTTTGGTTTGAGGTTTTTTCAGTTGATTTGCTTACGAAGTCTGGATCAGGTTGCTGTTACATCTGTTTTCACTTGTGTGTGTGTAATCCAGTGGCTCAGTCCATCTGTGCTGCGTCCTTCTGGGAGGTGAACTGGCAGGAGCAGGAGCCTGCCACAGGCTGAACTGAGCTCTAGGTTAACAAATGGGACCCCAGGGTTTTCAAAGAAGAAATGCTGCCTGGATTTATTTTTGGGGTCTGTATGATCTCTGGATGACACAAGGTTTGGGGCAGTCTTCTGAGTGGTGATAAGTGGGAAACTTTAGCTGTAGCAAGGCCTTATTTATTTATTCATTATTATTCTCCTTGAAAGTGGTGACCACTGGCAGCCCTGGTGCTGAGCAGCTGAATACCAGTGGGATTTGTTTACATATGACCCTTTTTCTGTAGCTGTCCCAGCACCTCCTCCTTCCTGTTACTCCTGTCTGCTTTAAATGACCACTTGGGAAAGAAATACCATAGCTGAGAGATACTGAAGTTTGAGAGGTGGGGAATGGCTTCACTCTCCTAGTTGGTATAAAACAGCGATGTGTCTATTGTTGGAATAAACATGTCTGAAATGTTTGCTTGTATGCTCCAGGGCCAGTCTGGTATCTCCTACCTTCTCTAGCACTGTGGACTCGAAGGGATCAAGTGCAAATACAATGGGGAAAATGTAGCAGAAGATGAGCTTCCATCACCAGCCACCTGCCTGACCGCTCAGCTAGCAGCAGTGGTCCAGCCAGGATGAGGACAAGGGATAAAACAAAATTAAGAGCCTTCGTAACAGCTGCTGAAGCCATGGGGTTTGTTGCTCTGATGCTGGAGGGTTCCTTGTGCAGGTCTCAACAGATTTCAGCTAGAGGTTGGAGACATTTCTTATGTGATGGAGACATCTCTCTGGCTTTTTGAGGTTGTCCTGCATCGTGGACCCTGGCCGCCTCTGTGTGCTTGCAGCTCTCACGGTCTGTCGCGCTCCTCACCTCTCCGTTCGCTGGTCTGCTCTGTTGCGTCGAAGTGTTCCAGACGACTGATTTGCTCAGAGAAGCTGCTTAAGTTACTGTTAGATGGTTGTACAGCCCACTGCATAATGCAGGACATCAGTTACATGATCGTAACGGTTCCTTCTGCGTAAAAATGCATGAATCTCCTGAATTGTCCCTGTTGCGGCAAGCCAGAGTAGTCCCACATGCCAGATCTGCTTTAAGGTCCTGTCACTTTTCAAAGTACCCTCAAAGCTCTTCAAGCCACGCTGAAATCTTGCAAAACAGAGTGAGTATCCAAAGGTGCAGATCCAAACTCTGGAGGGTCAAGTCTCGCTTGCCCTTTGGAAGCTGAGGTGGTCCCTCATTACAGAACTCTGAGGGCCAAAAGAGCAAGTCGAATTTCCTGGTTTTCCACAAAAAAGGTGCTCACAGAAGCTTACTGTCTGTTTCATCCAAACTCTATCCTTTAAGAGGAAAAAAAAAGTTATTTTAATTCACCCCAGAAGACTCTGGGTTCTCCACTCCAGTATTTCTTCGTGCACAACTGTGTGGGATTTGTGCTGCTGCTGAGGCCTCGTTTCACTCCTCTGCAAGGAGGGAGGAAAGTGGAATATCTCACTCCCAGTCTCCTCCTCGGTGCCCCCAGGTGTCTGCCCACCTCGGGAACTGTGGTGTCATCCAGACAGCACTTACTCTCACCACATGGTGATTCGGGCATGGAATCACATTTTCCTTTCACCTTTGCAGAGTCGTGTGAGGATTTTTTGTGGTTTGCTTTATGGGTGCTGTTGCTTTTCTGCTTTATTTTTGTGGTTGTAGAGTAACAGAAGTCCTAAATCTATTCTCTGCTTAATTTTACAAGAATACGGTGACTTTCCCTGTGAAGACAGAATCGGATGTGCTTTGCTGGGGCAGCTTGCCCGCAGAGCAGACACACACACACAGCTCCCTCGTGAGCACGTTCTGTCCGGTCCTCCCTCTGTAAATCAGAACCCTGGTGGGTCCTTTTGCCACGGCCAAAGCCATTAAAAAGACCATTCGGCCTGTTCCTTCCTTCGACACAAGCGTATTACAGCGTGTCATCTCGCCTCGGCAGCCAGGCTGCAGTGGCTGTCGGGCTGCATTTGTCATGGCTGTCCTGCGGCGAGTTGTCACTCGAAGGTCACTTCAGTGTCTGTTCCGTTAGAGGCATGTCCGGGACGGAGGTGCTCTCAAATCCTTCCGTCTCGAGAAATCGGTCGGCCAACAGAAGTGGGGTTAATGGTGCAGAGTTGTCGTTTTCCAGGTTTTGTGGCTGTGTTCTCCTTTTTGTTGGTTTGCTGCCGTCCCTGTCGGGAGGGTGAGCGCCAGCCGCCTGCTTTCCCGCTCTTTGTTCTCTCCTGCTCGCTGCTCCCTGTGTTTCTGTGTTGCCCTGTTGAAATGGAGGAAGCAGTTGGCTTCAGTGGAAGTGGGATCCGGTGTATGCACTAAATGGAGACAGTCTTTTTTTTATTATTATTTTTCCCAAAAAAAATTGTAAGCTTTCGTTATTGCATATTTTCTGGCATCAGCCGTGCGTCATTGGAAAGAGAAACTGGGCTCACTTCCTGGAGGATAACAGTAAAAACCAGGACTTTGTTCTGAGATTAGGGAAGCAATAATATTAGTGATGAAAAAGAAGTCCATAAATAACAGAATGAAGTCCAATGTTTTTTCCCGAGGCTTCGTCCTGTGGACGGATTCTCTGGCGAGTGATAAATTCTGTGACCTGATAGCGCCTGAAGCTCCTCTGCACCCGCGAGACAGTCTCTGAATTGTCCTGTGGGACCCTCGGGGAAGAGGAGTGCATCCTTCTTCCTCTCTCTTCACCAGGCTGCACAAAATACCTGGAAAATACTGATGCGCTGTCAAATCTGCTTGAAAGCGGCCAGCAGATCTGAGTGAGGTTTGGGAGGACGAACACGGGAGAGGAGAGTGGTTGTCTGCATACGCAGTGTTTTCCTTTGGAGCGACCTGTTACAGAAAGGCAGGTTGTGTAACTGGGGATGCTACATCAGCACTGACCTCTGCTGCTCTGCTCATTTCTGCCTGAAAAGAGGAAGGACCCCTTTAATTATTAGGCAGAAGCAGAAAGGAGGAGTCTATGGGTATTGGTACTGTGGCCGTGGTGCCAAATACGTAGTATTTATAGTTTCTGTTTGGGATGCAGCTGTGTTTGACTAAAACTGAAGTGTGGTCTCATAAGGAGGGACGCTCGTGTTGAGGTCCCC